GGCAGGGTTTAAGTGCTGGACTTGCTGGAATTGTGCTCCTCTAATATAAGGTGCTCAAAGTCATATTGTTCTAAAACTTATTTGGGAATTTTACTGAAATAACTCTACCTGGAACCCTCTTGCATCACTTCTTTATGAGCACACTTTTTTTTTTTTCTTCTTTTTAAAAATCTACCTCTCCTTTTAACATTATTCTTCTGGAATTCCAGCATTTTCACACTTCCCATGTTACTCAGACAATCTATTCCTCAGGGTACAAACCTGTAGCCTTGGGAAGGGGTTTTAACCCTTTAAGTGCAGCAGAAATAAGATGCACAGCTACATGGTCGTCTTTCATGACAGGAAGAAAGAGCCAAGTTTATTCACAAACACACTTGGTTTTATAGCATGACTGCAACTCCCAGAGTAGAGAAAAGGTGATTGGTTCAGAGAGAAGACACCCCATTGCCAGGGCCTGGGCACACACCACAACAGGGGTTCTATCTTTGTTATTAATTCCTTTTTATTGTGACCAAGATATCACCCTGGGAGAAATTCTCCCTAGCCTTGAGCTGGACCAGCTCATGGGCTGGGAACAGAGCTGAGAAGCTCCAGCCTGGAATATTTTTCAGGCTGTAATTTTCTTACTTTCTCAATATGTGTCCCTACACAGACCTGTATTTTCATGCTTATTTTCCCAGAGTTGAGAGAAGGCTCTGTAGAATCCAGCACCTGTGCCTTGCCTGGCACTCCAAAGCAATCAGCTCCAGAGCAATCCATCTGCTCCTGCTGATGACATAGCAGAAGGATACAGGGTGTGTGACATTGTCCTTGGGACAGCTGGAGTCATTACAGATAATGGGATGGCCCTGATCAAAATAACCCAAGCTGTGTATTTATAGCACACTCACACTTGTTATTTCATTTACAGTTTTGTTTGGTATGAAGAAGCAACTCCTTGAATATGTTGTGGGAGCAATGAGGTCGATAAATATAACTGCCATCAAAGGCTCTCTTGCTGCAGCCAAGCACTAAATAACCAAGCTGCTTTGAGATGCCCTTTGCAAGAATCCTGGCTGGTCTTTTAAAAGAATAAATTCTAGAGAATTAACAAATAAATAAAAAAACCCAGAAAACCCCCACAAACAAACTATAAAAATTAATACAATCCAGGTAGAAGTGTATGAAAGCAGAGCTCTGAGGTTAAATGGCATCTCCTGTCCTCTAGAGGTTGTGTGTGGGGACAGGGATTTCATTGAGCCAGTCTAGATGCAACAGAATCACACAAAGGAAAAAAACCTACACCCTATAATTAATACTGATCACTTTTTAGAAACCATTCTTAAGTTCACTGTTCATGCACAGGGTGTTGCCCTGGAATTACTTCCTGCCCAAGGAAAGAACAAAGATGGATCCATTTCTGGGCACCAATGGAACAGGACAGGTGGGATACAGACCATCAGCTCTTTGGACTCTCATGTCCTAAAAACAAATTTCTTGTAAATAATGTCCTAAAAACAACCTTCATATAAATAATGTCCTAAAAGCAACCCTCTTGTAAATAATGTTAAGCACAGCCATGTTTCTGTAGAAGGAAGCAGATGAAATGGGTTTGTCCATCTCTCATCCTCAGCAGGTGTGTGATGGTATTTTCAGGTGAAGAGTTGGAAGCTCTGGTGCAACAACCACTGCATCAGCTCTGGAAGGAGAAATCCCTTGTGCCACCAGAGACAGAACTGCTGGTCTTCCTGTTGACTGTTCCAAAGGAACAGGCTGTTCCCAATTCTCTTTGGAGTCCAAAGGAAAGCTTCTGTTTGGCTGTGCTGGGTTTTTCAGCAGTGTCACGACTCAGCAAAGAGAAGCATCCACCCAGCAGGACAGACTGATCCACGTTCCTTTCCCTCAGCCACTGCCCTGTGCCTCCTCTGAGCCCTGCACTGTGCCCAGGCTGCTTCCAGCACAGCTTGCAGAGACTGCCCTGTGTGTGCATGGCAGAGCCCAGCTCGTTCCTGCCTTTGGGAAGAGCTGGTGCCTGCACAGCCTGGCCAAAGCTGCAGCTGGGGGCCAGCGAGGCCCCTGCACTGGCCCCTGCTCTGTGGTGCTGTGTTCCATCCACTGGCATCTGTTATTCCCAGTAAATAAGAATTCTCTAAAATCTGAGGCCACAGAAGCCTGTTGGGCTGTCACACAATAAAGCAAGTAGCAAATTCCCATCTAATCTATTTGGTTTGAGAACATGACCTAGATTCCAGTACCCATGGCTACATGGAGAGGAGCATCTTTATTTCTCCTTATTGTATAATGAGTCTCACAATCCTTGCAGTACACTGATTCTCATAACAAGAAATGCCCTCTAAGTGCCTTGGTGTGTTGCAGGTCCTTTGCTGTTTGCATTCTGTGTGTTGTGATGTAAAGTGAAAGCATCAGGGAAATGGAATAGAGCTCACAGTGCACAGGGTCAGCCTTGATCCATGGCTCAGCTGCTTTTGGGAATGAAGGACTGAGCTCCTTTTCATGTTGGGATTCTGGGCAAATGCTGCCATGGTAAGTTAGCTCTAAACCTAAGGGCTGCAGTATGTAGAACCACTCAGGACAAGAGTTTTCTTTTGGAGTCTTCCTCTCTTTTTTTCCAATATATTCTTTTTCCACTTCCTCCCTTCTCCAGATGTGATATTGTGTCCCATCACTCCAGCATAGAGGTATTTTAAATGCTGCCAGTTGAGAATTTCTTTTGCAGTTGGACAGAAATTTTAAAGGGTAGAGTTGCTTGTGGTCACCTGTGCCCCCTTTCTTTTGAGGAGCTTGACTCAGATGCTCTGAAAACAGCAGTTCTCAGGATTAGACTGATTTCCTTTACAGAAACAGTTGGACAGAAACATATTTTTATTGTGCTTGCTACAAGTGAAATGGAATTTGTGTCGTTGCTGTATGCACATAGTGCAGGTTTTTCTGCCAAAATGCTGCAGAGATCTTTTCCTATTAGCAAGGAATTTCCCCTTCAAATGAATTTGCAGTATGTTACACTGATGCAACTGCTTTGATTACTGTCAGGATTATATTTATTTACTGAAAAAAATCTTTGCTTTTAAAAATCTGATTTAAAAGACACAGGTCTTGAAATTGCAGCCTACAGCTTTTCACTCATCCCTCATTTCTCATGGTTTTGAATAGGGAAGGATATCCATCTGTCCCCCATTATGCTTACTCTGATTAATGCCTAGAGCTGCTACTTCCAAGTCTCACTGAAATGAAAATATGATTTGGAGGTCAGCTCTCAGTTGTTTCAGGTGGAAGGTTCATAGAGGGAGCTCAGTCAGAGGCTGGAGAGCAGGTTTGCATCTCCTCAGTCTCTGAGTGCTCAGGTGCTCCAGGCTGCCAGCTATGGCAGAAGACATGAACACTGCAGGGCCAGGTCTCCAGAAGTCTCAGAGGTTCTTTGAAACCAGGTAGCTGCTTTCTCTTCCAGGTCAGTTCCGACCACAGGAGGTTTCACAGATCTCCAGAGCAAGCTGTGCTTGTTCACCATCTGCTGTGCACAGCCAGGGCACCCCAGGCTCAGCAAAACCAGCAGGGATTTGCAGTTTGCCTGCAGTGAGCCCTGGGCAGGCTGGCTCTGACACTGCTGGGCAGCTCCCAGGACATCCCCAGCCAGAGCAGCACGAGAAAGAGGGAAAGCCACAGAACTTCAGGCAAATACAACACATACAGGATGGCTTTTAGGGACCAAAATTTAATACAATCATCATTACAAGGTCAAGTAAGTCACTGGTTCCACAGTGGAACTAAGTGAAACTTCTCAATCAGCACAGCAGCTGGGCTGGGCTGGATCCAGTTGATCAGTCAGGGCAGCACCACTGACCCAAGGAGCCTGGGTTTAACAATAACATCACAAGCCAGTAAACATGGACATGCCAGTAAAAATGTTTAACAGTTAAACATCACATGCCACAGCTATCCAGCCAGAGGAAAACCAAGATTCACAAATGCAGAGGGAATCTCATCATCACCACTCCTTGTTTAAAGTGACATCGGGGTTCTGTGGCAGAGCTTTGGGATGGAAATGCAGTGTGCTCTGTGTGTGCACAGCAAGGCAGAGCCCAAACCACGGAGAACACCCTGGGATCATCAGGAGAGAGGAAGTGGATCAAGTAATTTAGCAGCAGATCTCGTGGCATTAATACACAATTCTTACATTTGCCCTTTTTATTCATGGCCTTAATAGTGAGACAAAAGCTGCTTTGCCAGCAGCTCTGCTGATTTAATTCACTTCAGTGAGGGTTCCATTCTAGCCCTGGTAACACCCTCTCCTGCTGCTCCCCTGTGGTGAATGAAGAAGGAGCTGGGCATATGCAGGGAGCTGTGTGCTTTTACCATCCAGGACCCAGCTCTATTCTCACCACTTCTTAAATCTGGGGGGCTTTGCTTTCACTACAAAGAACCCGGCTCTTGGCATTCTCCAGTAATGCAGGCAGGAACAATATCTGTCATTCTGCTTGGCCTCAGGACAGCCAGAGAGAAAAGGTGGAAGCAGGTCACAGACAAAAAAGCCTCCATTAAACCCAAACTGTTGTTTGACCAGAAAAGAAAAAACTCTAATTTGGAACTACATGGCAAAAAGTAATGTAGAAGGGTATGGAAGGAACTTCAGTATCCCTCTTACCCTGCTCAGGAGTTTGTGTTCAGATGGAGTAGCTGGGAATTGCTTTCAGGTCTCCAGGTTTAGATGCATCCAGGTTCAACATTCACTTTTTTAATTCCTCCAAATCATGGTCCTAGATCACACCTGATCCCTGGAAGGCTGCAGGTGAAATAACTTAATTTCCAGGAGCTGCTCAGAGAGGCTATGTAATGGCTTTTGGATAGTGACAGGTTTTGTTCCATTTTTTCCCTGAATATTGTACAATTTTGTAAACCTGGAATTAACCCTAAAACTTTTCTTCAGCCGTTCAATCTCTGACCCAGAGCAACTGAAGAATTCATCAACATTCTGCTGATTTGTTTTCCTTTCCTCTTCCTTGCAGGTCTCCATGAAATCCAGTGTTCCCTGCCCGTGGAGAACAGAAGGATCTTTCTGAATGAGTTATCTGAGGTCAGCTTTAGTGAATGCAAATTCAGTTTGTCATTGACAGACCTTTTTATCATCATCTTTTCGGGAGTCGCCGTGTCCATCGCTGCAATTCTCTCCAGCTTCTTCCTGGCCACGCTGGTGCACTGCTTCCAGAGGTGTGCTCCCAGCAAGGATGATGATGATGATGAAGACGACAGCGAGGACTGAACTTAGTCAAAATCCTTAAGTTTCCTTGGTTTATCAGTTACCAGATCATCAGCCAAAGGCTTCGAGGAAAAAAGAGTAGAGTAAAAGCTTTAAACATGACTTAAGCTCACCGTGTGTAAGGATCCCTTCTAGGCACGGGCTGGGGTGGCAGACCTGAGCTGTCAGCTCTGCTCTCATGCACCCTGCTGCAATCAGCCAGGGCCTTAATCAAACACTATATTTAAACTTGACGATTGAAAGAAAAAGGGGAGGAAAGAAAAAAAAAAAAAAAGGTCCAGTGTTTTAAAAGATGCGTTTCCACACTGTCCCGATGAGATGCAGATTCTTATAAGTGCTTGAAGCTTGTTCTAGATACACTTTGAAAAGAACTGGGTGAATGGAGATGTTTCAGGTTGAAAATACAGAAGCAATTCAAAATAGTGTCCTTCCTAGATCTAACTACTGGGAGGTTCTATTTGAACTCACACAAAATGTAATTTAAATGATTCCTAGGATTGTAGAAAGCATGAGAGGAATGGCATTTTCCCCCCTACAAAAGTTCCCCAGAAACATCCATCCTTCATTTAATGACAGCAATTGCAGGCACCATTCAGCAAAAAAAAAAAAAATTCTATAAGTGAATACGATTCTGGGTCTGAGTCATCCACTGCAGATGCCTGGCACTTCTTTGGTCATGGCACAAATACTAAATATAACATCCTTTTGCATTTTTAGATGCAGTGAAGGAAAGGATTTCCCTCCCTGTATTGCTCGGCACCAGTAACTGTTGCAGCATCCAGTCCATTTAGCTATTTTAAAGCACTAAGGGCTATATTCTGCTCCTGGTTATACTGGAATAACCCAAATGAGATCAACACCATGATCCAAATTGGCAACTGTATAAACAAAAGTGAAATCTGGCCCGACGTATTTCTGACTGTATTATAGATTTGTCAAAACTTGAGCTCTTCTATACGATGGTAGATATTTTTGTTAAAATTTAAAAAGACATTTATTACAAGAGATTTTTGGAATAGTGCTGGACAGCTTTTTAGGATAAGTATATTTTTAAAATATTTGTAATGGAAATATTTTTTTAAAGCTCTGTGTATTTAAAATGTTATCTAGAGTGGCTGTGAGGGCTTAAAGTAACGATCAACATAGTAATAAGCAAGCTAAGGACTAAGCTATTATAAAATAATTAGTGCTGATAAAAAGTAGCATTTGTTTAACGACCGTAAATGCTATTATTTCTTTTAAAAAGCACTCTTTGTTCAAAATACTGCCTTGCTCAGTGTCCCCCTGTGTGGCTGGGGGTGCCAGGGTCCAGCAGCACTCCTGGTGATCCCACCCAGCAGGGATGAGCTGGAACCTCCAGCACGCCTCAGTCTGTCTGTCTGTCTGTCCGTCTGTCCGTGCCTCAGTGCAGGACCTCCCTCCCGAGCAGCACACCAGCTGCTCATCCCTCCCCGGTGCCTGGGGCTGCAGGGGAGGGCTCTGTCCCTTGGGGTGGCCCTGCCATCAGCCCTGTCCTGCCCGGGGGTCGCTGCCTTGGCTCACGGGGCTCGCTCTGGGTGGGCACCGCGCTGGTGAGAATTTATTTCTGCTCAATGCACTCACTGCTCCCATCGGTGGGATGGCTCCTTCTGCAAACACACTGAGACAGGATCAAGCAGGACAGTGAGAGGCTATTCTGTATCAATACTGTCTTATTCTATTACAATTCCTTCAAGAAAAATGGAATTATATGATTTTCACTGTGTAGTGCCATGATTATAAACAACACAAATATATTTATAATTTCAACCTGGGTTTTGATGTTTATTTGTATGTGGGAATGAAAAAGGACAGAAACCGTGCCTGATTCACCTTTTTAAGGGAGGTTTTGTGGGGTGGTTGGAAACACATTGCCCAGGGCAGTTCCTGAGGCACCTCCCTTTCCCACAAATACGGATCTGTTATCAACAGTTTTATATTTAGAGCTGTGCAAATTGTTCAGTCACGGAACAGGAAACTGGGTCACACTTATTATGGGCTCAAAACTCACAACCCCTTAGCAAAATGATTTGTCCTACCAAACTTCCCAGGGAGTCACCAGTGGATGTTTCAGCAAACATCTGCCCTGCCCCTGGTGATGAATTCCTGGTTTGTGCCATTACCCTGGAAGGCTCAGTCATTTTGCAGAGGTCACAAATCAAACTCAACTGTTTTTTCTGGGCTCTGCTCTCACTTGCAGGTTCACCCTACTGTGATGTAGATTTGTTTATAGATTGTAGCTTTTGTTCAAGCCAACACAAAGCCCTGAAAGCTCTGGTTCTATTTGGAGTGTAGCACCCTCAGAGCACCGAGGAGCACACCAAGCTGACACCCACACAGCACAGCACAAGCTGGAGAGCAAGGCTTGGCAAAGCTTTATTTGGGAAGCTGCTATTCTGGATACTACACTGCACCAAAGTGATTTTGCTACGTAGGGTTTTTTCTGGATCAGAAACTTCAATGATATTTTTAAATTCTGTTTTTCCCTATAACTAATGTACATTTCTGAACATTATTGAACACCTCCAGTTAGTAATATTGGTTTATTGTAAGCACTAGCAGTTGCCAACTATTAATATTGGTTCTGCATAATTCTAGTTGCTAATAAGTGAGACAGAACTTGAATTTAGTCCTAACTGGGATTTTTCTAATTTTATGGAACCTTGAGAGTAAACCACTCTCCTGTTGGAATATCAGCAGAATATCACCATAATGATGCCCTGCAAACATTGAAAGCCAATTTCATCATCAGTAGAGGGTGGCCTGAGGGCTGCATTACTATTGCAGCTTTAGCTGCACAGAGGTGCAGCACAGAGCTAATCCCCTCTCCGGGTTTGGGGCACTGGGGAGGGTTCCTGTGCAGGGATTTTCCATGGCTGGGATGTGGTGAGCCTGCTCTCCCTGCTCCCTGCAGTGACCCACATTAGATCAGAGCAGTCACAGGGGTGCCAAGCAGGAGCTGAATTTATCTTCCCTCCACTCCAGCAGCCCTGCCTGTAGGTGATCAGAAATGAACTGTGCAAAGTTCTTCATTTACAACTTCCCTTCTAAAATAGCTCCACTTTTGTGGTGCTCTCTCCCTGTCAGAATGAGCAGACATTTTACCTGCTTCAAGGGGAAGCAAAGATACTCTGCATGACCCAAATAAAGCATTGCAGGCTCCAGGAGCCAGGCAGCAGCTGCCACATTGCCTGCAGATATTTCTCCTTGATGAAATGCTAGAGCTGGGTACGTGTGAGGATCCAAAACCTGTGCAAAAAAATCAAATCTGCATGATGTCATTGAGACAATCTGACTTTTAGAAGTGTGCACACAGGTTTTAAAAAGCCCTAATCCACAAAATATTAAAATAAAGATCACCTAAAGCAACTGTCCAAACCCAGCATTTCATCCCCAGTGAGCCACCATCCCTCTGAGGCAGCTCCTGCTCTTGCTCAGACAAGAACATTAATGGGTCAGGTTTTACAGCAGCACGAAAATGCACTGGGACACCTGCAAGGGGTGGCTCTGGAAGCTCCTACAGGGGACCTCAGTGCTTGGCCACCCAGCCAAGGAGCAGAGCCTGACCCAGTGCACACTGACAGCTGAAATTCACCCTGGCTTAGACAGAAATGACAAGAACTGGGCTGGGTTTTGGGCTGTGGAAGAGCTGTGTGCACTCACACTGTGGGCAGGGAGGGTGTGTGACAATGCTGGAACTGTGTCCCCCCCTGGAACCCCAGAGGAGGGGCTGGGGGGGACCTCAGCTGGGTCCTGTCCTTCACCCCAGGTCGCAGCTCTCTGCAGGTTCAGCTCACATCCCAAAATAAAGGAGCAGAGCTTTGGTCGTGCCCAAATCCAACCATTCCTCTGAGAGGACAATGTGTGGTCACCTGTGGTTTAACCTGTTTCTTTTTCATCCCCGTGGGATGCTTGGCTGTGGGGGAAAGTCCTTGTGATTCATCCTGGTGAAGGTGATGGTGGAATGCTGAATCCCTGTGTAGTCTTTCCAAGAAGAAACCAGAAATACACATCAGGAAATTAAATTTCTTGGAGAGTAAGGTCTGCCTGTGACACACAAGCCACCAGAACCTTTTATTATTTCATGTCCTCCATGTAACCACTGGAGCAATACAGCCTTGCCATAGAACTGTAGAAAACTTAGGAGAACCACAAACACATTATTAGTGATGCTAATATAGTGATGAATATAATTATTCATGTATTTCATATAATATTCATTATTCATTAGGGAATATCACTAATATAGTGATGAATATAATCACTTTGCTTAGTGATTATAGTGAAGCTTTGTCACAAAAATACCTGGTTTTGTAATCAGATTCACACTCCCACACTGACATCATGTTCCTCTCTCTGTGTTAATTTCTGTATCTCCATATCACAATTGTATCTAAAATAACATTTCAGTTTGGTGCTTATTCTGAACAGTGCAGCAGCACAAATCACCACAAAAATAACCAGACCAGGAAATCCACAGGTCCAACTATCCATCCAACCACCCAGCTACTACTGTAAAGAGTTAGTAGGGAAAAAAAAACCACTGAATTTTGAGCTGACTCAGAGAGCAGCAGCAGCCCCTGTGTCACACAGCAGCACTGCGATGATGATGCTGTGTCCCTCCAGCTCCCAGCAGCTCTCACACCCCACCCAGAGCTCCCTGAAGCCGTGTGAAACTGGGCAGCTCTGGGTTAGCAGCACATCCTGTGGGTTTTTTGGGGCTTGTCCAAACCCCTGCCAGTAAATATTTCAGAGCAGGCTTCCACTGTTCGTTCTGTGGGATGTGAAAGGCTCGCAGGGGGCTGGGCAGCAAGCAAGGAGTGAACCAGCTCGGGCCAGGGGTGCTCAGCAAAGCCACGTTTGCTTCAAAGCCGCTTTGTTTTCATCTCAGAGCTGCTTTTCCACCGGTTTCTGGGAGCAGGGGTGAGCTCTGAAGGTTGGCCAGTTCACACCCAGGTACGTGGTATTGTCTGTTCCCAGCAGAAATTCATCTCAGGTGAATTTTCAAAGCTTAGTGCTCCCAACCAAAGCACCATTTGCCTGTTCAAAAGCTTTCATTTTAATGTGAGGTGTCACTTAGAGGGCTGTACAAAAATCTCTTATCAGCTCAGAAATGAGAAAGTCAGAAAAGTTCCTCCAGTCAAAGGTGC